GAAGCGCCAGACTGGGAGGGATCTGAAGTCGATCGAGCGGCCTTGGATACGCGGGCAGACTGGGTTGGAGACTCGGACTCAGAGCGTGCTCGCTTGTGGCTCGGCGCGGAAGGGCGAAGGGACGCAATGTTGGACAATCTCTCTTGCGCCTGGTACCGTTCAGCCCGTAGATCGGTCACCTCCATGAAACGCTCGCCAAGCTGGCCGATCAATTCATCTCTTTGAACTACCAGAGCGTCTCTCTCCTGCTGAAGCGTTGCGAGCGCGGACTCGAGATCCTGACGCGACTTCGGAGACCTCTCGACTTGGTTAATCCACCTTTCCAGCCGGGCGATAGTATCTCGAGCCGCTGAAACACGATCCTCTGTGACACAAGATACAAATTAGTATGACGCCGGCAAAAGGTATGCAGACAGCACTCACGGGTAGCGATATGCGCTGCCCTGGCTTGACCGAGCTGAGAAGTTTTCGCCTGAACACGCTGAGGAGCCTTCTGGAGATCCCGATCCAGTGTCGATACCCGATCCTGCAAGCGGCCAAGCTCGGCTGTATGGGTTGCGATCGTGGTGTCGGCCACCCTCAAGCGACGCTCGTAGTTGTCGCGCAAGGTACGGAGGCGACGGGACTTGTACTTGATCGCGGCCTCGAGGCGGGCTACCTCGGCCTGAGCAGCCTTGCGGGACGTAGCTGATTCGCGAAGCTCCGAAGCGAGGGCAGACTAACGATCGCGCGCGACTTGTAAATCAGATTGGGACCGCGCCAGCTGGGACTCCAGGTCTGCTATGCGGCGAGCTGTATCGGGGACGTCAGATCCGCTATGCGACCAGCCGTATCGGGCGAGACGATCACGCCAAAGGAAGCGCCGGGAGCCAGCTGTGCCTCTAGCGTGTTGATCCGATCTTGGAACTCGGACACTGCTTCGTTGTAGCGGGTTTTTAAGTCACGGTACCGAAGGCGACAAGCCTCGAGCTCATGAGAGTTGTCGAAACACTCTTGCAACGCGTTCAGGCACTCAGCGAGCTCCGTCTGGGTGGATTCCAACTTGTGGCGAACCAAGTCGTATTTGTGCTGACAGAAGAGCACATGGAGCGACGCAGCATTGGCCGCGTCCGCGAGCTGATGATCCAGATCCTCCGCGCGACGTCGTGTAGCCAGGAACTCGTGGCGCAGATTCTCATGATCCAAGCGAAGCTCGCGCAGTGCCTCGGTCTGGTCGATGGCCTGCTGCAACG